ACATCTGACGGAGGTGACAGAACTGACGGAGGTGACAGAACTGACGGAGTTGAATCACATGTGTCTGACGGAGGTAACACATGTGACGGAGTTGACACATCTGACGAAGGTGACAGAACTGACAGAGGTGACACATCTGATGGAGGTGACAGAACTGACGGAGTAGACACAACTGACGGAGGTGACAGAACTGACGGAGTTGACACGTCTGACGGAGGTGACAGAACTGACGGAGGTGACACGTCTGACGGAGGTGACACGTCTGACAGAGGTGACACATGTGACGGAGGTGACACGTCTGACGGAGGTGACACAACTGACGGAGGTGACAGAACTGACGGTGTTGACACAACTGACCGAGCTGACAGAACTGACGGAGTTGACACAACTGACCGAGGTGACAGAACTGACGGAGTTGACACGTCTGACGGAGGTGACAGAACTGACGGAGGTGACACATGTGACGGAGGTGACACATCTGATGGAGGTGACAGAACTGACGGAGTTGACACGTCTGACGGAGGTGACAGAACTGACGGAGGTGACACATGTGACGGAGGTGACACATCTGATGGAGGTGACAGAACTGACGGAGTTGACACGTCTGACGGAGGTGACAGAACTGACGGAGGTGACACATCTGACGGAGGTGACACATCTGATCAGAACTGACAATATTAACATTAGGATTTAAAATATTCTAAAACTATAAAACTTAGCAGAGCCTGTCTGACACTGATGTACTCTGCAGAGGTGAACTGTGGCAAGGGGGTCCTTTAGAGTGACCGCTGCTCCTGATATTATTACATTTTATTGAATGTCTGACGGTGTTGACAAAAAGTGGGGACGCAACTTTAAAATCATATGAAACATGCATGTGTCATTAAAAAAACAACCTTGCTTCGATATATATATATATATATACAGTGGTGGCCAAAATTATCACTAGAATTTTCACCCAGCTAAAACGGTTTTATAGGTGTGTCAGTAGGAAATATCAGTTTACATTTCCTAACATTCATTTTGCCATTAATTGTAATAATCCAGTGAGATTCTCGTTTGCACAAGGAGTCTGACAGCAGCCGGTGCTGCACACAGAGATCTGATCTCAGCATCATCTAGTCTGTCTGCGATTACATGAAGAAACAGAACAAACTGAGACAGACTAAATCCAGAAGAACTGTGGCAAAGTCTCCAAGATGCTTCAAGAAACCTTCATGCAAAGCTAAAAACTATGTGCAAGTGCACCTCGGACCAGGGGTGGAGCCAGGGGCCACCACTGACCTAAGCTTGGCCATCCCTTTGGCCACCCCACTCAAAAATTAAGCGTTAGCGTAAAAAACATCCTGGCTCTGCCACTGCCTCGGAAAAAAAAATTGCTTTAAATGCAAAGGATAGTCACATCAAATGTTAATTTAATTTAGTTAATAGAAGTTAATTAAAGACAACCTGTTTATGACATTATTTTTGAAAGCGTCCACACTTTACAGCATTTTTACTCAAGTGCCTAAAACCTTTCACAGTATACTGAAGTTTTGCAGGAAGGTTTCATCAAATGTCTTGGAGACTTTGCCACAAAGTTTGTCTCAGTTTGTTCTGTTTCTTCATGGCTGCATTTCCCGAAACCTTCTTAATGCTATGTTGTTCTCAAGTTATACCTTAAGTTGTACCTTATCGTTAATATGTGTTTCCCGAAATGTTCTTAGTTAAGTATACCTTCTGCAAGTCATTCGTTCGTAAGGTTAGTCTGGACTACTCTTAGCTATACCTTATCGCTGTTCACAGCTCACTCCGCTAGTGGCCACCACTGTGCAAAAACCTTCTTCACATTTCAGTCGATACGATTGAAATTCTGTGGCAAGAAAAAGTGCAGAACCAAATAAATATTACAATTCTAAAGTTGTAATACACCCAGTATTCAATTAATTGAAGTGTTTTTATGCAAAGAATAAAACTGTCATTATAATGATGGTTGTTAGTTTTTCCATTATAATATACAAAGGCACATCAGCTGGCAATACATTAGGCAGCACATAATTAGGAGTCTATTTAAAGGGAATGAATGGTCATAGCTTGGTCAAACTATGGCAGCGAGACAGCGAATAGTTGTCCTAAATCAAAGATGGCTGCGTCCGCAGAGCCAGTTAGTGTATGTGCCCTATTTCATAATAGCCACGGGAGCAAATTCAGCAGCTTTTACATCTTGTTGGTCCAACTTTGTCAAGACAAACTCGACGGAGCTACCCCCTAAGCCCCGAAATTCAGCTGCTGGCAGCTTTCCGTTTTTATGCTGTGGGGAGTTTTCTGGAGGTGGTTGGGGAAGGATATGGGCTGAGTAAAACCTCGGTGTTGCGGTGTGTTCACTCCATCTTGCTCCGTCACGCCACCGATTACATAGCCTACGTACGCCTTACGCCAGGCATGAAGTGATGGAGGCACATCAAGGCTTCCATGCCATTGCGGGTGTCCCGTGAGTAA